GAAAGACTTTCAGTGATCTGGGAATTTCGTGTTACGGGAAATTGGGTCCCGGCGCGCATTGCATCAAGGTTGGAAATGGACCTTTAAAGTTCATTTTATCAAAGCCTAATGAAGAGGTCACCTGCAAGAAAACTGCTCTAATTTCTAACTCGAAAACAAAACAATTTCTTGTAAAAACGATGTCTTGCTATTAAAAGAGTTGAATTCAATCTTAGCAACATCTGTAAATTAAAATAAGGAAATTGTCGTGGAAAGTTACACCGCTATGTTGAAAAACACAGTTACCATGATAACACTGATATCTTCTCAGGTAACGATATAACGATACGCCAACTGCACCAGGTGAAGTTGTCATGTTTTCGAAGCAGGAGAAATACTATTATTTCATCATTTTTTGTATGATAATTACGCTAGTATTCGCGTTTTGCTCAACTGCGGTCTCATTTAATGTCAAAACATTTGTCGCTAATTTGTGTGAAAAGCTTTTCTACCTCCAAGATATGATGGAGCAAGGGGGGATTGCTTTTCTTCACTTTCTTTAAAGCAACGTTCTGTGGCTTTAAAAAGAATGTCCATGGTTTGAATACCCTCTTCCATCTAGAGAACAAGATTTTGGTGTCACACGCAACATTTCAACCTGGTATAATTCCTCTAGTGATTGTAGAAATTCTCGCGCTAAGATTGGTCGAGGGTTGCGTCCTATCTCGCTATAATCAGCTCGCGCAAGATGATCTAGCAGGAGCGCTAAATTTCGAAATAGCTGCCTCGCATTTTTTCCGAATGTTTCCGGGAAGTAATGAACTCGATACTGACAGAAAACAGATAGTTCTAAGTTAGGCGTAACACTTTCAAAACTACGGTGTGAGGTATTTGCTGTTAAATTCTAGTGGAAACTGGCTTAATATCTCGACACGAGTAATCAAAACAACTGTAAAAAAGTTTTCTCTATGCAAGGAATGGTTTCATAATTATACGAAAATGCTAATTCACCTCGGGCTCAGTGAATATTATTTTCCAACAGTATTTACTTTGCCTCGGACAAATAGTTGTTAAATATGTCGAAAATGAAATAAAACTTTAAAAGAAGTACCACGTGGTTCACGTAATATGATTGGTCAAATGTTTTACCCCTCTGGCTATGTCTACAAAAAAAATTATGCTGTGTTCAATATGCACTAAAGAAAGCCTTGAATGTTAAATAAAATAGCTCGTATTTGGTAAAATTTAGAAACTATTGCTAAGTGTAATGAAGAGAAATGGTCGTAAGAAGACCCAAGGGTCTTTACTTAATAGATTAAAATTTTAGTCAGAAATTATAGGAAAACCACAACACTAGGAGCTACGTTCACTATACTTGACTGTGAATATATGAAAATTATATTACATGAACTGTGGCTAATTTTAAAAGACGTTAGTTTTAATCGTTTTTCGTTTAAATCAAAACAAGAAAAAAACGTTTTAATTTCGAAATCAAAATAAAAATAAAAAGTGAAACAAGAAAAAAAAAATCATTGTAAAATGTCCATGGTCGAAAACTGCCGTTGAAATTTTGAAAAAAAAAATTTTGGTTTTCCCGATGGCCGAAAGCTGCCATAGTATACCGTCATGCTTTGCGTTAACACATGTGCGTACGGGACTGATGGCTATTTTCTTCCCGAACTATCCGATTCAACATGGGGGATCGAGCTTAGGCAAAGTTTCAAGCCCAGATGAAACACAAACGTGTACAGGGAAAGTCAAAAGCAGATGCTGTAAGTGCTGGGATTATTCACCAAGGTGGTGAATTGACAGTACAGCGCCTAAGTTCAGGAGGTCTCTGGCAAGGTGCAAAAGTTTAGCAGAATCGGAGCCAGGGAGTTTGTGCCATTCGCCGAGTATGAGGATTTAACGTTAGCGAACATTAAACTTGCCTGTGAGAAGTACTTCTCAAATACAGTTGGTAAAAGCGTTGTATGCGATGTTCTCGCAAGTGAGCAAGGGCCGTCTTGTTCCACACTGGAACAGGTTCCTGACTTGAGACTCATACACATTCGATTCATTCAACGGGAACTCTAACAAGACCACGCGGAGAAGCCCAATACAATGTTTCTCACCCCAAACACCCGGAAGAAGGAAAGAGCAGTTTTGAGTGTTCTCATTACATCAACTTCTCCTGAAAAGGATTCAACAAGTGCTTTGTCACCCAAACGCATCAAGGTGTACCCCAAGAGTCTGTCAGTGTCTGATATGATGAAGCCTGGTAAGATCATAAAGACGAAAGCCATTACTTTGATCGAGCTGAGATCCTTTGACTTGGATCCTGTGGGATGGTCCTTAACAGCAACTACTGTAGAGTTCAATATTGAAAAGGACCCATTTAGAAAGGGAGAATTCCGTGAAGCATACAGGTAGGTTTGATAACAGTAGGCGATTAGGCTAAAAACAAGTCAACTTTGACACAATCAAACACAACTCGTTAAGATTATGAAAAATCACAATTTCTTTTTCGATGTCATGAAAGACATTAGCGAAAATTGCATTAGTGGACAATAAAGGAGCAGAAAAACGTCAATGGAAGTAACCGCTGCATGGAAAACACCATTTGAGTGCACTGAACTGCATTTCAGCTGTGTTAAGCAAAACTAGAGTGACCCCACGTGAAGCTCGGGCGTATGGTGTATACAGGGTAGTACACTGTACATGTGCGTAAAATGCATCAACATATATAAATGTGACATAACCATACCACAATCTTCCAGACCATACATGTCTGGAAAGCTGTAGATATGATCAGGGACTCCATCGGGCAAAGCTGTATCTTTCTTTGCTCTTGTTCTGTGGCTGGTCCACACAACTGTCCGGAATACATCAAGTCGTTTCTGTACCACAGGTATCATTAGGAAAGCTAATAGCATTCTAAAAATATAACACAAAACCAGGTCGTCAAGTTCATTATTATGACTCGGGCTAAAGGACACAAGTTATGGATAGACAAAAGTACACACAAATGCGTGACTGCTTAGCCTACACATGAATCCATTCACCCAGTCGATTCAGATGGTTGAGGCTGGGAAATGCACAAGTGTTGGGTTTTTTGCATAGCACATGCATTTGGATGTGAACCTGTCACAAAGGAGGGAAGGAGAAGTCCTTATGATCTACATGCATTTAATATATATCGACCTGTCTCTTTCACTATGTGGATTGTAATGACCTTGGTCCTTTAACCAATTTAGTTGTTCCTTGAAGTATTTTTCCATTCTTTCATGGAGTTCCTTCCACCATCTCTCAGTCTATAGAGAAAGCAAAGCTGCAGACGTTTGTTGCAATTCTTTTGTCTCATTTATGAGAATGAACATCAGACAAAGGAATTTACAGATCAAACAAGGTGGAAGCAACTTTTACCAGGTACATATACAATGTATCCAGAAACTTACTTGATATGAGGTTGATGGTCCATATATGATGGAATCGCGAGGGTCATCTATATCACCATGGTTTCTTCGAAGAAAAGCATGTATCGTTGCCATTGTACCAGTTTCTGTGCCTCTGTCCAACCTCATCATGGACGGAATAACTTTGGTCTCGTACAAATATTCCAAGTACCAATGGCCGATGACCTTAGGGTTGCTGTTAGTGACCTAGACGCGTAAAAATAAAGATATGCCCTATTTTTGAATGGCAGCTGTCGGCCACCATACATATCATTATCTGATTGTTTATCTAAGGGCAGGTGAATTTGAGAAACTCTACTCTTAACAGAATTTTATAATTAAAGATATATTTTTTGACAAAGGAACATGAATTGAGTAGACTCTTACTTTTAACCACTTTAGATTATTCCTCTCGGAACCACCGTTGGGTACTTTAGTAAACAGCACAAATCGGAGGCTTCATTTGCATTGATGACATAGTAACTCATTCGTCGAAATTAGGCGTAATTTTAGCGTCTTAAAACATTTCTTTGACTTAACAAGAATGCAGACAGTATTAGCTTTCATGGCGGTGGAAACTAAAGCAAATATCCTATGATATTCGATTCATATTTTGGAACAGAATCAAACAATCGCGGAACCCCCTGGAGACAAACATTTCTCATTCATTTTATTCCCAAGCACATGGCATGTGTATATTGGGAATGCCTAACCAGTATTTCTCATTTTTTTTTCCTAGCCAACCCCGATATAGCTTTAAACCCCCATAATCATGGGGAAAAAATGTGTTTGCAAGCGATACGCGTTAATTGGAAACATTTCGTTTACCAAACCATCAACCTTGACTATATCATTATATTGAACGATTTAGTAAAAAACTTTGAAAACGTCTTTTTAAAGATTGGTATTTTGCGGTGTTCTTCCTTCCCCAGCCTCGATTGTTTTACACTGATTTGTTTATGCATGTTTTGCCGTACAACATTGTATGTATGTTCAGGTTTTTCCAAGTTCTTGAATCAGAGGGCTTAGTTTAAGTCTTAGAGAGTCTGGGAACTAGATTCCTTAGTCTTCACGCAAGACTGATTATCTCTTCCAGTTTCGTTCTAATCCGAACTCACAATGGCGGCTGACCAGAAAATTCCAGAACTTGGCGGCTATGATTTTGAGTTTACAAATGTAGTTTCCGATGATTTTGAATGCCCTGTGTGTCAGTTAACAATGAAAGATCCCATACAGATTGGAGGATGCGGCCATAGACTTTGTAACACCTGCTTGGGGAGCTTGTTGAGGTAGGGGGCGCATCACGGTACGCTGTATCGAGTTACAACTGAAAACAATCATCTTACGTGACAATCACCTAAGTTGAACGACGATATCGACCGGTTGAGTCACTTTCCAAGGGAATTATTGTGTGCCTCGGCTATACATAAGTAACAGCTAAATAGCTTTATCCGGTACAAAACAATTCAAACAGGTTCGAGGTCGCCGTGAGTACTTATGAATGCGACTGAAAGCTATCAAATATTTCATCAAATAGTTGCTTGTTGCCTTTTAGGTGTCTTCGATTGCTTTAGTACAAGCGCATCTAACAGATTCATCGAATGATATGATCTTTCAATTTAACATTGATCTTTCACTTTGATCTTTCGTTTTCTTTGTTAAAAAAGGAATCGACTTAAACTAATTATAATTTGTCTTTCAGATGCAAATGTTAATTATATACAACAAGTCCACCATTGTGGATTCTGTACGCAGCAGAGTATGGCCCAGCGATGAAAAACGCCAAGACTTGATTGTAAATAATATACACGATGAACAATTTCTAAAGATTTGTTTGTCTTCTGACTTTTTTTGGTTGTCTCTTGTTTCAAATTTCCTTCCTTCAGGAGCCATTCTCCAAAATGTCCAGTAGACAGAGAGCCTCTTTCACGTAATAAGGTAATGATATCGCACGGCAAACTAGCGATTCCACGTTCTACTCTCGGTTAACAGATCCTTAGGCATTTTAACTTACAACTCGAAACGCTGTCTTTATTAATTACGCGAAATTCTCCTAGGGTAAAACCATAGAAAATTGAAGTATATTTTAAAGCGATAGACTGCGTTTTTATCGGTTTACCAGCTCAAAAACAAGTTTGTAAATCACGAGCTAGCAGAGGCAAGTGATTGACAAACGATTCTCGGGTTTTCCCAACATCCTGCGTGGGTTATTATGCGGGTAGGCCGATAGAAAGTGAGTTCCATCGCTTAATTATCACCAACTACAATATTTCCCGAAGGTGGTGGATGCGAATTTGCAGCAGTGTAGCGCATGAGGGAATTCAGGATTCTGGTCTTGTTCGAGCACGGTGAACAGCCTACAAAATGCTTCTGCTGTTTTGCGGTGTAGTTTAAACGACGAAAGTCATAGTGGCAACCACAGGCTACCCACGCTCCAGCTGCGAGATGATCATCTTGCGTCATGACGAAAATATAAGAGTTTGTATGGGAATATTAATGATCTCCTTGAGGAAGTAAAAATAGAGACAAGTTGTCATTAAAAAATACCTCACTTCACTTCCACAGTGTATAGCTTGCTGTCTGAACGCGTACTTTGTTGAAACGAGGCCTTTTCAGGGAGTAATTCATTTTTAGGTTTCCTACTCTTAAGAGAAGGACAAGGCTGCACACTCCTTTTCCGAAGGCGCAAAATCCCACAGGCGACCCAAGCTCCTGCTTCTCTCAGGAGTAAGTAACTAGAAATGGATAAGTCGCTAAAGTGGCCTCGTTTCAACACAGTAAGCGTTCAGACAAGACGCGATGCACTTGGAATTATGGTGAGGTATTTTTTTATCGAGAATTTAACTGTATTTTTACCTCCAAAGAGCAGTTGTAAATATTCCCATACAAACTCTTATATTTTCGCCATGACGCTTCTTACGCAATGAGATCATCTCACAGCTAGAGCTTGGGCCGCCTGTGTGACAACAGGCACTTAGAGGGTTTGCTTCCCTTAATCTGCCAATAAATGAATCTGTTTGGGGACGCCATCTCGTTGTTTATCTCAAGAATTCTAGACGACACGATCACTTAGGTCATTTTCCGCGATTTGAAACATTTTTCTGGATTTCCAAGGAATCTTGGATCGCAAATTATTTTTGGGTTTTAAATAAGTCATTTTTGGAAAAAGTGATCCTATCAAGAATTTGTAATTGTTTTTTAGATTTACAATAACTTTTCAATACGGATTTATTTTTAAAATTATTATTCAAAATATGTTTGATTGCAAGAAAGTGAGCAAGATTTGATTGATTCATCTTTGCTAAACAAGTGGGAGACTGGTTCAAGTTAGAATCAATTAAAAAATCGATACTGGCACTAACGATTAATGTTTTGCGGCGGCGATTTCAACTTTTCACAAACGATCGGTGGCAACGTTGATTGACATGGTTAAGATTTCACAAGCCGTAAAGGTTTAACTTTATCGATTGATACTAAAACCTGTGATAAATATTTAGCGCTATCGATCAGCCTCAGAACACCGGCGATTCATAATTAGCGCTTTTACTTGGAGTCTTACAGTGGCGTTCACATATAACGCCGTTATCTGTATTCCCATTTACAATTATGATATGTTGCTAGCGATTGAGTTTTATCACTAGCGATTGAAAATTTTGGCATAAATGGCTCACCATGGTAATACTGCGTTATAATTTTTTTTATAATATTGCCAGTCCATTTAAACACTGCCCGTTCAGTTTATGCTACAAGCAAAAACTGACGGTATTTTTTTGTTTTGTTTTTTTCTTGCTCAAGATATCATTCTCTTTCTATCATATTTCAAGTCCTCCACGCCGTCGTTAAAGTGCGCAAAGATTGTAATTGAGCGTAATTATGTTGACATCGGTGTAACCTGATACCTGATTAGAATGTATTGACCATGAATATGCTTGTGTCTGGGTTGTCAGATATTTCCAGATGTCGCTTGTCATCGCAAAATTCTGGATCTCAAGGTGAAATGTTCTGATGTTGGGTGTCCTTGGACGGGAGAACTCCGAGCTGTGCAGGTAATTTTTTTCACTCCTGATGAAGGCACTAGACAGGAGTGTCGAAACGTTGGGTCTATGAATTGTAACTTCTTCGGTTACATTCATTAAATCTGTAAACCAGAGTAGCATCAAACCATGTTTGATTGTCCACCTGGTTGCCGTGTAAACTTTAATATATTTTATTTGCGAGGTAATATATCTACGGCACATCCACAGTCAGGACATTCTCCATTGCTTCATTTGCAGTTAGTCCCAAAACTTTAAAAGTCTCTCAAACATTGTCATTTGTCTCCTAAATCATAAGCAAGCATTGTGCATATTCTTGCTACTCTTGACCATCGTTGCAACAAGATAAGATGTTATACGAAGCAGATAAGGATAACTTGTGGAGCTCAACTCAACAGTTTCTTGCAGCGGTGTTGTTTTAGTATTTGCCATCTGCGGTGTCATGGACAGCAGTTTGCGTGCGTGCATGCTTATTTTATTAGACGTTTATTTAATATTTATCACCGGTCTTGGAGACATCATTATTATCAACAAGTCACACGTAAATTTCACATTTCTTTTCTTAGATCCTAAACCGTCAGTTAGCCAGTTGTTTTCCTGTCAATCAAGTCTCTCTTTTCTTTAGCCTGTTGTATGTCTTGGCAGATTGGATCATGATTACATTGCAGTTTATTATCCAATTATGATTTAAGAAACATCAGTCAGAATGCCTGTTCAAAGTGGTGGAGTGTCCAAATGAAGGATGTAAAAAGAAGCTCACCAGGCGAGATATAAACAATCACAAGATAACGGAATGTGTCTGGAGGGAAGTTAGTTGTGAATATTGTCGAGGATCTTTTATCGTGAAAAACAAGCAGTTTTGTTAACAAAAATGTATTCTTTATATAACTTCTACCGAGGCAGTATCTCAAACTTTTGCTTTTTATCCAAAGTGGAAAAGTGGTGACGACTATCAATCTTTATTAGGTCAAGATTTTGGTTAGCTATAGGTATCTTCTCTTATGCGATATAAAATTGTTACACAGAAACATCTTACTAAAGTTGGGGTTTAATGCTGGGTTCGAGAACTTTGGTCCTTTACTAATAAGAAACTTGAAGTGGGTATTTTACTCTATACATTTCGTTAGTAAAACAGTCTGTATTTATTGGTCATAATTTTAATAAGACGGAGAGAATTTTGAAATTTTTAAAAACTTCTTTTCGATTTTCTTCAGCAACATCATAACGTCTGTCAAAAGTTTCCGGTTCAAT